TTTTTCAATTTGCCATTTCATTTCAATTTCTTGCCAAAAAGACTTGAGACTAGTCAAAATCCATATATACTTTGATCATTAGTAAACTTTAAGTGAATCATCGTGCATACATACAGATATTTCTCCATCAAATAATGAAGACTTTTCATAATTTTTAATTCTTATACCACCAACCTTTCACTTGCTATTTGACTTCAAATTAGTCATGACACTCCTTAGGTTCATAAACAGTACCTGTATCAGGTTCCAGTGAGCAATCTTTGTATCAAGTACGAGCTCCTAGTATTTCTACATTGTTAAGTTAAAGTCTTAAAAAAATAATTTTACACTATTCTGCCTGTAACTTTGAACTTGCTGCATTGACACTGGATTAAAAGAAGAACTTTCCTTATTTCAAAAACAATACCTGTACCAATTCTTTTCCAAATAAAGTTTTAGCTGAGACATTTTTTTTTTCTTTTTTTTACCAGTGACCTTGAAATCGCCAAAATGACCTTGGATAAAGGTCAAGGCATATTCTTTGATCATAAGCAATATCTGTACCGAGTATGAGCTTCCACTGACTCTCCATTACAAAGTCAAGTTATGTCATACCTTTTTTCTACTAGTAACCTTGAACTAAATGGAATGACTGGATAAGATCATGACACATGTTTGGGTCATAAGCAATCCCTGTACCAGGTTTGAGCTTCCAGTGATTCTTACTAAAAAGTTATGACCCAGACAAAAATTTCATACTTTTAGGCCAGTGACCTTGAACTTGCAGGAATGACCTTGTGTCAGATCAGGACTCACTGTCGGGTCATTACAAGCAAGCTCTATAACAAGTATAAGCTTCCAATGTTTCCATATATCAAAGTTAGAGCCTAGACAAAATTACATTCACAGACAATGTGATTCCTATATATCCCTAAAACTTCCTTTGTTTGGGGTAAAAAGAGAAGTTTCATTACAAGGAATACACATTTGAAATATGAAAGCCCTAGCACTAATCATTCACATTATTTTTTTTTACCAAAGTAGGTCAAAGTCTAACTTAAAGGTTAAAAAAAGTTCAAAAGGAATGGCCATGGGTAGTAACCAGAAGTCTCTGTCGACACTGTAGCTCTACTGGTTTGTACTTATCAAAAACCACTGCACTATTTTATGTATCTTTGTGTAGTCTACTTGTGTGCCAACTTATTTTGAAATCAAACTAAAACTGTAGAAGGAGTAGCGTTTTAAAAGAATTTCACAGAAAATTCTATTTTTAGTAACCATGGTAACACAGTTCATCGAAATCAAAAACCGATGCACTATTCTATGTATCTTAGTGTAGTCTACTTGTGTGCCAAGTTAAATTGAAATCAGACCAAAACTGTAGAATGAGTAGCATTTTAAAGGAATTTCACAGAAAATTCTATTTTTAGTAACCATGGCAACACCGTTCATCGAAATCAAAAACCGATGCACTATTTTATGTATCTTTGTGTAGTCTACTTGTGTGCCAACTTATTTTGAAATCAAACTAAAACTGTAGAAGGAGTAGCATTTTAAAAAAATTTCACAGAAAATTCTATTTTTAGTAACCATGGTAACACAGTTCATCAAAATCAAAAACCAATGCACTATTCTATGTATCTTAGTGTAGTCTACTTGTGTGCCAAGTTAAACTGAAATCAGACCAAAACTGTAGAATGAGTAGCGTTTTAAAGGAATTTCATAGAAAACTCTATTTTTAGTAACCATGGCAACACCGTTCATCGATATCAAAAACCGATGCACTATTCTATGTATCTTAGTGTAGTCTACTTGTGTGCCAACTTATTTTGAAATCAAACTAAAACTGTAGAAGGAGTAGCGTTTTAAAAAAATTTCACAGAAAATTCTATTTTTAGTAACCATGGTAACACAGTTCATTGAAATCAAAAACCAATGCACTATTCTATGTATCTTAGTGTAGTCTACTTGTGTGCCAAGTTAAATTGAAATCAGACCAAAACTGTAGAATGAGTAGCGTTTTAAAGGAATTTCATAGAAAACTCTATTTTTAGTAACCATGGCAACACCGTTCATCGAAATCAAAAACCGATGCACTATTCTATGTATCTTAGTGTAGTCTACATGTGTGCCAAGTTATATTGTAATCAGACCAAAACTGTAGAAGGAGTAGCGTTTTAAAAGGAATTTCACAGAAAATTCTACTTTTAGTTACCATGGCAACACCGTTCATCGAAATCAAAAACCGATGCACTATTCTATGTATCTTAGTGTAGTCTACTTGTGTGCCACGTTATATTGAAATCAGACCAAAACTGTAGAAAGAGTAGCATTTTAAAGGAATTTCACAGAAAATTCTATTTTTAGTAACCATGGCAACACCGTTCATCGAAATCAAAAACCGATGCACTATTCTTTGTATCTTAGTGTAGTCTACTTGTGTGCCAAGTTATACTGAAATCAGACCAAAACTGTAGAAGGAGTAGCGTTTTTAACAAATTTCACAGAAAATTCTATTTTTAGTCACCATGGCAACACCGTTCATAGAAATTAAAAACCGATGCACTATTCTATGTATCTTAGTGTAGTCTACTTGTGTGCCAAGTAATACTGAAATCAGACTAAAATTGTAGGAGGAGTAGCGTTTTGAAAAATTGTTTACAGACAGACAGACAGACAGACGGACGGACGCCGGACGCATTCCTATCGCATAAGCTCTTCTGGTCTCTGACCAGTAGAGCTAAAACCAGAAGTCTCTGTCGAGACTGTAGCTCTACTGGTATGTACTTATCAAAAACCATTGCACTATTTTATGTATCTTTGTGTAGTCTACTTGTGTGCCAAGTTATATTGAAATCAGATCAAAATTGTAGGAGGAGTAGCATTTTAAAGGAATTTCACAGAAAATTCTATTTTTAGTAACCATGGCAACACTGTTCATCGAAATCAAAAACCAATGCACTATTTAATGTATCTTAGTGTAGTCTACTTGTGTGCCAAGTTATATTGAAATCAGATCAAAATTGTAGGAGGAGTAGCGTTTTAAAGGAATTTCACAGAAAATTCTATTTTTAGTAACCAGGGCAACACCGTTCATCGAAATCAAAAACCGATGCACTATTCTATGTATCTTAGGATAGTCTACTTGTGTGCCAAGTTATACTGAAATCAGACCAAAACTGTAGAAGGAGTAGCGTTTTTAAAGAATTTCACAGAAAATTCTATTTTTAGTAACCATGGCAACACCGTTCATCAAAATTAAAAACCGATGCACTATTCTATGTATCTTTGTGTAGTCTACTTGTGTGCCAACTTATTTTGAAATCAAACTAGAACTGTAGAAGGAGTAGCGTTTTTAAGGAATTTCACAGAAAATTCTATTTATAGTAACCATGGCAACACCGTTCATCGAAATTAAAAACCGATGCACTATTCTATGTATCTTAGTGTAGCCTACTTGTGTGCCAAGTTATATTGAAATCAGACCAAAACTGTAGAAGGAGTAGCGTTTTAAAGGATTTTCACAGAAATTTCTATTTTTAGTAACCATGGCAACACCGTTCATCGAAATCAAAAACCGATGCACTATTCTATGTATCTAAGTGTAGTCTACTAGTGTGCCAATTTATATTCAAATCAGACCAAAACTGTGGAAGGAGTAGCGTTTTAAAGGAATTTCACAGAAAAATTCTATTTTTAGTAACCATGGCAACACCGTTCATCGAAATCAAAAACCGATGCACTATTCTATGTATCTAAGTGTAGTCTACTAGTGTGCCAATTTATATTCAAATCAGACCAAAACTGTGGAAGGAGTAGCGTTTTAAAGGAATTTCACAGAAAATTCTATTTTTAGTAACCATGGCAACACCGTTCATTGAAATCAAAAACCCATGCACTATTCTATGTATCTTAGTGTAGTCTACTTGTGTGCCAAGTTATATTGAAATCAGACTAAAATTGTAGGAGGAGTAGCGTTTTGAAAAATTGTTTACAGACAGATGGACAGACAGACGGACAGACAGACAGACAGACAGACAGACGGACGGACGCCGGACGCATTACTATCGCATAAGCTCTTCTGGTCTCTGACCAGTAGAGCTAAAAATTAGTAAATTTGGAGACATAAACAGACAGACAGTTTATCAAAATATGCCCCCAAATCTTCAATTATAGTGGTGGAATAAAAACTCAACAAGTTTAATTCCATGACAAACAAGACTGTATAATTATTTATAGTGTATTTTAATATATATGATAAATTCAACTTGACATAAATTAATCATGTATCACAAGGGGACAAACACAGTTTTTACAATTACGTGTACATCAGTTATGCTTTTCAAGAAAAATTGAAAAAATATGAAACATCTAGAAAATCTTCATATACTATACGTATGAAGTAGAACATGCTTATAGAACTTGACAATGAAAAATATTTCATAAAAAACTTAAATTACTTAGAACCTCAGTAACAACTAAAAGAAGGAAAAAGTGTTGCATACAAAGATAAAACTAAATTAGATAAGCAAGAAGCCCATGGGCCACATCACTCACCTGAGTAACTTTGGCTATTATGTTATTAAACAGATTTCCCCCTAATACCTATCTTGACCTTTCCCAATCCCCAGGGGTCATCATCCAAGCAATTTAGAATCTACACTAGTAACACTACCCCAGGATGCTTCCACAGAAGTTTTAGCTTTTCTGGCCCAGTGGTTCTTGAGAAGATTTTTTTATGACCCCATCCTATTTTTGTATATTCTTGACAATTTCCCCTCGGAAGGGGACTTTATTTTTATAATTTAAACTCCCACTAACCAAGGATGTTTTGTACTAAGTTTGGTCAAAATTGGCCCAATGGTTCTCAAGAATAAGCTGAAAATGTGAAAAGTTTACAGATGAATGGACAGTCAGACGGATGGACGACGGACAACAGGTGATCAGAAAATCTCATATGAGCTAAAATCTGCAAGGCCTGCTATGTAAATCAAAGGAGAGAACATATAAAAGAATTTAGATTTTGCATACTGTTATATTTATTTAAAATCTAAAACACTAAAAAATAATAATGTTACAATGAGATCACTTTATCTTTTCTAGCAATTTTCAAACTAAAATTAGATATCATTGAGATGGTGGCCATCTCAAAGGGTCCCACTTTCAGCAATGAACATAAAAATGTAAAGTAGCTGAAAGGGGTTTTAACCTTGACTCTTGGCCTTGAAACTTGTTCAAGGTCACTACACATCCATTGACCAGTGGCACTCTGTGAGAGAAGTATTAGCCACATTGGACCAAGGGGAGAAAGCATATGCTCTGGACAAGGATTCATAATAAAAAAAATTACCTCCCTTTCTCTTAAGCTTAGATATTCAGACAAGCACTGATTTACCTCTCTTGATATTTTTGCTTAAAAATCCAATCTTTAACTTTTTAAAATTAAAAAATATAATATACAGATACAAAAAAAAACATTCAGAAAAAATAACGTAGTATATGAAAAGTTGTACAATAATGTAGTAACACAACTTTGAGTGATCTGCTGTGGATGTCATATGAGTTATCCTTAATGAGTTATGTACTCAGCATGGTACACTGAATCCTGAGAATTAAGCTGTTTACTATGTCCATCACTTTGTAGATATTAGTACATACCGTAAATCTGGAAATTTTTACGTCGATTTTATTTTGCGAATCTGGGTCAAAATGCTGTTGATTAATTTTTACGTTTCAAAATTTTGCGAATGACCACTACTTTGCTTACATTTTCTTATTGTTGAATTATTTTTAAGAAAAATATTTTTGCGAATGCAGTGAACTCGCAAATTTGCTAAAAATTTATCTACAGCAAAAATTTCCAGATTTACGGTACTCAACTCTGTCCATTGGATTCTGTGAGTTCAGCTATTTAGTGTGTCCATCACTTTGTAGATAACAATGTACTCAGCACGGTCCATTGAATTTTGTCAGTTAAGCTATTTAGTGTGTCCATCACTTTGTAGTTATATAACAATCTTCTCAGCACGGTCCATTGAATTCAGCTGTCAGTTAAGCTATTTAGTGTGCCCATCACTTTGTAGATATATGATAATGTACTCAGCACTATCCATTGAATTCTTTGATTGAGTTGAGTTATTTAGTGTGTCCATCACTTGCAGTCCAAACCTTAAATTACTCTCTGTACTATTGTTGAAGCATATTTGTCTGCTATCAAAGAAACATGAAATTGATGGCAGTCTGCCTGTAAAAAAAGAAATCACAAGGACTCAACATAAATTATATTAATAAAATCTTAATAAATGAAAAATAATAGCTAACATATTTTTACAGAATAGAAGGATTTTGCAGAGCTTGTACATGTGTCTTACCTTTATTTTCAGGTCCCATAGTTGATCTCTTTGTAGTCTTGAGGAATCATGTTGATCTGCTTTTGGAAACAGGATCAATGCCAGCATAACCGTCTGCCTATTAACAAAAAGACACTAAGAATCCAAGCAATGAGAGAGTCAAAATCTCCTCTAATTCACATAATGCAAGGTCTAGATTATAGCTTTACATGCATCTGATCTGACTAACCATCAATGTTTAGGTTAGACAGTAGTATGTCCTTACTTTCCACATTCTTGTTAACTGATTGAGATCAGTCTCATCTTCTACTTGTTAACAAAGGGAATCCAAAGATAATGAAAAAAAACATGAACAAAAATACCTTGTGCCAAAATGTTCACCTGAGTCATTTTGACTTTGTCATCAAAAGAAAAATTCTTATCTTTTTTTACTAATCCTAGTCCAAAGGGATCATGATGTAACGTAATTTGAAACAACACATCCTCGGGATGCCCTATTGTTATTGCAACACAGTCTTGCTGTTGTGCAGCAGAAGTAAATCCCCCTGGACCTATGATTTGATAAGTGTATAAAGAAAATTTGTAAATTGCAAAAAATAAATCTTTTTACCCACTCCTTAATCAGATATTGGCTGCTGTACAAAGCTTGTGCAATAGACTCTTCTTTTTCTTCACTTGGTCAGCATGTACTGGCCCTCTTCCCATGTCAAATTCCTTGAAAATACTTGATGGAGAGAAGATAAGCAATAATACAAAGCAATGTAATAATCACAGAAATTCAAATGAACATAATCATTACAACATTATAAGCTTGAAAATCAAAAAGCAAATAAAGACAATACTAAGGTTATGATAGCTAGGAATAAGGTGGAATATTGGGGCAAGGAGAGGAAAGCATAGTTACTTTAGAGTAGGGAGGACAAAGATATATGTCAGAAATAATTAAATAAAAAATACTTGTAAGACTCCTGCCTTTTAAAGTGGGTCATGATGAAGTTCCATAGGTAAAAAAGAAGTAAAGTCTGATTCTTACGAGTATTCTCCTCATGGCTGCAGCGGAATGGGAAAGGGACTCTTCCTCACTTAGAATTCCTAGTCAGTCTTAACTTTCTTCTGCTTAAAAAGATAAAACAGAGACATAAAAGGGGAAACACTTGCACTTCATACCAAGTGAGAAGCTTCAGTAAAAAGCAGCTTGTTGCTTACCACTTTTGAAACATAATACCTGCAAAACACAGACAGGAATAGACTCTTCTTATATTAATGACCTTGGTCCTCCATTGTTGTTCCTCTTCTGAATCAAAGGGGAACTGAAATCTGTCAATTGAAGGTCCAGATGTTAAAGCTTGGTACAGCCAACATCAATAGGCAAACAAAGATACAAGAAGTAAAATCTGAATCTTACCCTGCTTTCTGCTGCTGTATGCAGTTCAATGAGAGAGGGAGTCCTCCTCACTTCAGGATCCTGTTCAGCCTTAAGAGTATTCCTCTTAAAAAGATAAAAATTAACAGACATCAAAAGGGAATCACTTGCACTTCATACCAAGTGAGAAGATTTCTAAAATAAACTAATGGCTCACCTAAGCATATTGGCTAGTAAATGACAAATTAGTCCAGTATTGAAAAGTAAAAAATTTAGGAAGAGGAGAAGGGGGCTTGAATAACTACCTGGAGACATTTTCATATCAATAACAATGGCTTAGCTGTTCTTGAACATAAATTTTTTTCCTATATATTCCTTTGTTAAAATTCTATCCCCATTGATGCCCCTCCCTGCCCCCTGGAATCAAGATTTGGACAAATTTGAATCTACACTACCTAAGGATGCTTCCATATCAATATGACTATATATGGCTTTGGTATTATTGAGAAGACGTTTCCTATATACTGTAAATCACTTAATTTTCACGACACCTTATTTTCGCGAGATAGTCAATGACTCTTCATTAGCAAGACAAAATTTTCAAAATTGTGGTCATTGCTCTATATAATCTTAAGGAATTATATTATATGCGAGAATGAAATTTTCGCGACCATACCATCTCGTGTAATAATGTGAAAATAAAGTTCTCGCGAATAAAAAGTGATTTACAGTATTGCCCTGTCCATTTTGATCCACCATTGGGGCCCTGCCCTACACCTGGGAATCATGATTTGAACAAACTTAAATCTACACTGCATGAAGATGCTACCGTATACATATCACCAGTCATGACATATTTGTTTCTGAGACGATTTCTAAAAATATTTCCAATATAATCCAATGTAAAACTTTGATTGTCCAATGTGGCCCAAACCTTTTCCCGGTAGACATGATTTGAACAAAATGAAATCTTCACTACCAAAAAGGATGATTTGCTATCAACATAACTAATTGTGACTTGAGAAAAAAAAAGTATATCCCTACATACTGTAGATTCCTAAATATGTGCGTGGAATTAATTTTCGCGTAATTTTGTGAGAAGCACCACACACAAAATTAAATTACTCGCCTTTATTTTTATGGCGCTGAAATCTATGTAAAATCTCTTAACCCACCATGCATTTGCGAATTATTATTCTTGTGATTTGACGGTGAAAAGCCTATTTGCGATAATTACTCGCGAGAAATAAGGAATCTACAGCATTATCATATATATTTTTGATCCCCTATTCTGACACCAACATGGGGTCTTGATTTGACTAATTTTGAATCTACACTACCTGAGGATGATGCCACATAAGTGTCTCTTTCCTGTCTCAGTGGTTCTTGAACAGAAGATTTTTAAAAGATGTCCTTAATTTTTCTCTAATTTGTAGTAATCTTCCATTTGAAGAGGGAATGGGCCTTCATTTGAATAAACTTAAATCCCATAATGGCATTTATCCAAGGATACTCTTTGCCAAGTTTCGTTGAATTTGACCAAAGATGAAAATGTGAAATTTTACAAACAAGAGGCCCATGGGCCACATCGCTCACATGAGAAGCTTTGACCATTCTGTTCTTTACCAGATTTCCCCCTTGTAACACATATTGTGACCCCATCCTACCCCACTGATCAAAATTTAGACAATTTGAAATCTACACTACCCCAGGATGCTTCCACAAAAGTTTCAGCTTTACTGGCCCAGTGGTTCTTGAGAAGAAGATTTTCAAAGATTTTCCTGTATATTTCTATGTTAAACTTTGATTACCCATTGTGGCGCCGCCCTACCCCCGGGGGTCATGATTCTAAGAATTAAGAAACTACACCACCCCAGGATGCTTCCACATAAGTTGCAGCTTTTTGGCTTAGTAGTTCTTGAGAAGATGATTTTCAAAGATTTTTTCTATATATTTCTATGTAAAAATTTGATTCCCCATTGTGACCCCGCCCAACCGCCGGGGTCATAATTTGAACAATTTAGAATCTACACTACCCCAGGATGCTTCCACACAAGTTTCAGTTTTTCTGGCTCAGTGGTTCTTGAGAAGATTTTTTAATGACCCCTCCCTAGTTTGTCTTTTCCTGATTATCTCCCCTTGTGAGGGGACTTGGCCCTTAATTTTAACAATTTAAATTTCCCTTTACTCAAGAATGCTTGGTACCAAGTTTGGTCCAAATTGGCCCAGTGGTTCTTGAGAAGAAGTCGAAAATGTGAAAACTTTACAGATGGACGGACGGACAGACGATGGACAAAATGTGATCAGAAAAGCTCACTTTAGCCTTTGGCTCAGGTGAGCTAAAAAGATGACAAAGACATAAAATGAACAAAGGTTCACTTCTTTTAAAAACCAGCACTTATATCAATTAATTCTACTACTAAATTGGGTTTGTGATCAGGAGAGATCCTATATGAGATGTTTACCAATGCTTTTGAGACTCATCTTCCCGTGCGTCCTTGCGAACTTAGCCTGGGACAAAATGATACCCAGTATCCGTCTGCTTCCACGTGGAGGCATCGCATAGGACTTGTTGTGGAGAGGCTATGTACTGGCAGGGGAAGTCATTAGAATTTCTTCCCCCTTTTCGCATTGCTGCTAGCCAGCGGTGATGGCTGAAAGCGAGAGGTGACAAGCACACAGACACTAACACCAACACACTAGACGCGTCACACAACATTTAGCAGACGTTAGTAGTTTTAGTAGCTTGTTACTTGTTCAGGGTTCTCCATTGTTTGAAAATTTACTGTGTTGCAGAGTTTACCCAAAGCACTAAAATTTCACAGTATTTTAGCAATCAAATTTGCAACTGACTCACTATTCATTATAATTAAGACAATAGAAAATCTTTAATATACTATTTCAATTTATCTCTACTAATAAATGGTAAAAACACTACAGTTGTGATCGTGAAAAATTTCCAGTATTTTAAATTTTAATACGGTTGCGGTTTTACTTTTAGTACACGATCGCGACTTCCTAACTTCAGAAGATGGATACCGCATGATGTTAATGGATAATACATTGAGGAATTATTTAATAGATGAAGCAATGTTGTTTTCCTTTGTCATCAACGAATAATTAATAGAACTTATTTTGTAAGAAAGCTATAGAATAAATATTGTTTATCGGGGCATTAATTTTTTTGTGAAAAATAATCAAAAAAGTTACAAAAGTGGCACAAATTTGCTTTGAAATTGACGTAAATTTTACTGATTTGGGGGCATTTTTCGTAAACTTGAGCCTTAAATAGGTCAAATTCTGAATATTGGTCGACCCCAGCGGTTCTGAGAAAAAAAGTATTGACCTACATTCCATAAATTACGGTACTTCTTGTCTATAAAGTTGAACTACTTACAATTTTTCAAAGCAAATTTGTCATAATTTTTTTGTCAATTTTATTGATCGAATTAAGGAATTACAAAAAAAAGAGACTTCGGAATAGTAAAATACTTTTAAAAGTTCCTTGAAAATTGAAAACTATTTATTTACATCAAGTAAATGATTTTGGTACAGTGTTATGTTTGATTTACATTGCAAACATAATTCTAGAGCCATGGCTCTAAAGAAAAGACATTTAAATATATTTTTAAAAATAATACAATGTACTTTAATTGCAAGTACTAGTACCAATTAAGCGTTACATGGAAGTTTGAAATCCAATTTTTTGTCTTTGTTCCTTCATGCGTCAAGTCCATTGAGGGTCTAGGAAATAATTGATTATGCAAGGTGAAAGCATAATTAAGTGATCTAGATATCGTATAGAATTGAAAGACGGTAGAATTGTTTGATCAATTATGTTTCAGATAGAGAGAATTTGTATGTTTCAATTTTTTTTTATTATCACAGATCTTACTGTGTCAGCAAAATTTTTAATGTGTCGCACAGATAAAATTTGAATCTTTACTGTGTTGGAGAACATTTTTCTGTGTCGGGACCAACACAGTAAAACAGCTCATGGAGAACCCTGCTTGTTAGGGTGTTAATCATGCAGACCTATCCACCACAAGCACTAATCATGCACTAACTAACAAATACCTTAATCACAATAATAACCTACACTCCTCTAAGCTGTCTAACTATCAACTAAAGCCTACTTACTAACTTAAACTACAACACAATGCACCTACCAGAAATACTATACAAACTAAACCTAAGACTAAGAAACACCTTTGTAACGCTACTTACAACTACTATACACCCCATACTTTCTGAATGCAGCAGAAAACACTCCAGACTGACCTTCAGAGGTGGCTATCTCTGCTTCCTGTCAATTCAAACTCAAGAGGTCAAAGCCTGAAAAAGCCAACATCAATTGGAAAGCCATAATGTTGGGAAAAGGTGCTCACAGGTCAAGTATGAATCTTACCGCACTTTCTGCTCATGAACGCTGTTAAATGGGAGAGGGACTGCTCTTCACTTCAGGATCCTGGTCAGCCTCAAATTTCTTCTGCTTAAAAAGAGAAAACAAACACATCAAAGGAGAATCACTCACATTCCCTAACAAATGACAAACTTCATTTAAATAATCAATTTGTTACTTACAACCCTGAGCCATATTGGTTGCTGCATAGAGATGGGAAATGGACTCGTCATCCTGTTTTTTGCTGTTGGTCGACCCTGCTCCTCCATCATTGTTCCTCTTCCCAGTCCCTGAAAGTATAAAACTGGCACAATGTTAGTAAAACTTCAAAAGAATGCAACAAATCACGAAAAGTGACTTACCACTTTGGGCCATGTTGGCTGCTGTATATAGATGGGAAATGGACTCGTCATCTCGTCTTCCTCTGTTGGTCGACCTTGCTCCTCCATCGTTGTTCCTCGTCCGAGTCCCTGAAAGTATAAAACTGGCACAATGTTAGTAAAACTTCAAAAGAATGCAACAAATCACAAAAAGTGACTTACCACTTTGGGCCATATTGGCTGCTGTATAGAGATGGGAAATGGACTAGTCATCTCGTCTTCCTCTGTTGGTCGACCCTGCTCCTCCATCGTTGTTCCTCGTCCGAGTGCCTGAAAGTATAAAACTGGCACAATGTTAGTAAAACTTCAAAAGAATGCAACAAATCACGAAAAGTTACTTACCACTTTGGGCCATGTTGGCTGCTGTATAGAGATGGGAAATGGACTCGTCATCTCATCTTCCTCTGTTGGTCGACCCTGCTCCTCCATCGTTGTTCCTCGTCCGAGTCCCTGAAAGTATAAAACTGGCACAATGTTAGTAAAACTTCAAAAGAATGCAACAAATCACGAAAAAGTTACTTACCACTTTGGCCATGTTGGCTGCTGTACAGAGATGGGAAATGGACTCATCATCTCGTCTTCCTCTGTTGGTCGACCCTGCTCCTCCATCGTTGTTCCTCTTCCGAGTCCCTGAAAGTATAAAACTGGCACAATGTTAGTAAAACTTCAAAAAAATGCAACAAATCACGAAAAGTTACTTACCACTTTGGGTCATGTTGGCTGCTGTATAGAGATGGGAAATGGACTCGTCATCTCATCTTCCTCTGTTGGTCGACCCTGCTCCTCCATCGTTGTTCCTCTTCCAAGTTCCTGAAAGTATAAAACTGGCACAATGTTAGTAAAACTTCAAAAGAATGCAACAAATCACGAAAAGTTACTTACCACTTTGGCCATGTTGGCTGCTGTATAGAGATGGGAAATGGACTCGTCATCTCTTCCTCTGTTGGTCGACCTTGCTCCTCCATCGTTGTTCCTCGTCCGAGTCCCTGAAAGTATAAAACTGGCACAATGTTAGTAAAACTTCAAAAGAATGCAACAAATCACGAAAAGTGACTTACCACTTTGGGCCATGTTGGCTGCAATATAGAGATGGGAAATGGACTCGTCATCTCATCTTCCTCTGTTGGTCGACCCTGCTCCTCCATTGTTGTTCCTCTTCCAAGTTCCTGAAAGTATAAAGCTGGCACAATGTTAGTAAAACTTCAAAAGAATGCAACAAATCACGAAAAGTTACTTACCACTTTGGGCCATGTTGGCTGCAATACAGAGATGGGAAATGGACTCGTCATCTCGTCTTCCTCTGTTGGTCGACCCTGCTCCTCCATCGTTGTTCCTCATCTGATTCCCTGAAAGTATAAAACTGGCACAATGTTAGTAAAACTTCAAAAGAATGCAACAAATCACGAAATGTTACTTACCACTTTGGGCCATGTTGGCTGCTGCATAGAGATGGGAAATGGACTCGTCATCTCCTCCTCTGTTGGTCGACCTTGCTCCTCCATCGTTGTTCCTCGTCCGAGTCCCTGAAAGTATAAAACTGGCACAATGTTAGTAAAACTTCAAAAGAATGCCACAAATCACGAAAAGTTACTTACCACTTTTGGCCATGTTGGCTGCAATATAGAGATGGGAAATGGACTCGTCATCTCATCTTCCTCTGTTGGTCGACCCTGCTCCTCCATTGTTGTTCCTCGTCCGAGTCCCTGAAAGTATAAAACTGGCACAATGTTAGTAAAACTTCAAAAGAATGCAACAAATCACGAAAAGTTACTTACCACTTTGGGCCATGTTGGCTGCAATATAGAGATGGGAAATGGACTCGTCATCTCATCTTCCTCTGTTGGTCGACCCTGCTCCTCCATCGTTGTTCCTCTTCCCAGTCCCTGAAAGTATAAAACTGGCACAATGTTAGTAAAACTTCAAAAGAATGCAATAAATCACGAAAAGTTACTTACCACTTTGGCTATGTTGGCTGCTGTATAGAGATGGGAAACGGACTCGTCATCTCATCTTCCTCTGTTGGTCGACCCTGCTCCTCCATCATTTTCCTCTTCCGAGTCCCTGAAAGTATAAAACTGGCACAATGTTAGTAAAACTTCAAAACAATGCAAAAAATCACGAAAAGTGACTTACCACTTTGGGCCATGTTGGCTGCAATATAGAGATGGGAAATGGACTCGTCATCTCGTCTTCCTCTGTTGGTCAACCCTGCTCCTCCATCGTTGTTCCTCTTCCCAGTCCCTGAAAGTATAAAACTGGCACAATGTTAGTAAAACTTCAAAACAATGCAATAAATCACAAAAAGTTACTTACCACTTTTGGCTATGTTGGCTGCTGTATAGAGATGGGAAATGGACTCGTCATCTCATCTTCCTCTGTTGGTCGACCCTGCTCCTCCATCGTTGTTCCTCTTCCCAGTCCCTGAAAGTATAAAACTGGCACAATGTTAGTAAAACTTCAAAACAATGCAACAAATCACGAAAAGTGACTTACCACTTTGGGCCATGTTGGCTGCTGTATAGAGATGGGAAATGGACTCGTCATCTCGTCTTCCTCTGTTGGTCGACCCTGCTCCTCCATCGTTGTTCCTCTTCCGAGTCCCTGAAAGTATTAAACTGGCACAATGTTAGTAAAACTTCAAAACAATGCAACAAATCACAAAAATTCAAGTGAATAAAATCAGTACAACACAATTTGTTGAAAAATCAGAAAACAATGACAGTGAATTCAGGAAGACGAATGTGGGGGAAAGGGAAGGGGATGGTTAGTTATGTTAGAGTCAGCAGGGGCCAGGGGGTAGGGGAAAGAAGGGAGAAAATCAAAAATACTTCCATATAAGCTTCCTTTGCTGTTGCTGTGGCTTCTGGTGATGTTTCTTCTGAACTGTCTCAGCATTTCTGTTTCCTCTCAATTCAAAATCAATAGGTCAAAGCCTGACAAAGCCAACATCAATTGGAAAGCCAAAATACTGGGAAAAGGTACAAAGAGGTCAAGTATGAATCTTACCCCATCTTCTGCTCATGAATGCTGTTAATTGGGAAAGGGACTGCTCCTCACTTCAGGATCCTGGTCAGCCTCAAATTTCTTCTGCTCTTATAAAGAGAAAACAGACATATCAAAGGGGAGACATTCTCATTTCACATGAAGTATGAAACTTCATTTAAAAGCATAGATAATCAAAGATTATGAAGCTCACCTCGACAAATGTTATCAGTTTAAGTAATGCAAATCTCACATCATATTTCCTTAACAGTTAGTATTTATCCTGAGAACAATATTCAAGCAAATTCTGATTAAATAGGTTTTAAAGTTCATTGAGGATTGACATTTTCCAAATACATGAACCTGGTGAAGAATGCAGGTCAGATCCAGCATCCGAAGCAAGTTTCAAATGTCCATCTTTAGATGCATCATCCATGCAAGTTTGGTCAGGGTAGAGCTGAGTTGGGAATAATTTCATCACTCATCTGGAAAAAGTAGGTCAGATCAAGCATCCGAAGCAAGTCTGGTAGTGTCCATTCCTAGATGCATCATGATCATCCATGCTTGTTTGGATCGGGTAGGACTTACAGTTTCTTGGGAATGGACCTGCTCCAAAAACCTTAACCTGGTCACTCATCTGGAAAATGTGGGTCAGATCCAGCATCTGAAGCAAAGTCTGGTAGTGTCCATTCCTAAATGCATCATCCATGCAATTTTGGTCCATGTACGACTTATACTTACTAGAACATGGACTTGCTCCTAAAACTCTACCATGGCACAAATGCTAACCCTGAGGCTGGTGTCAGGGTATAGCATAACTACATCTTGACTTTGTTGAGGTAAGTTCAAGTTCAAAATAAAGCTTCAAGGTAAAAAAAAAATATTTGCATTTGAATAACCTTCATCAATATCTCTAATTTGATTGTGATCATTCAACAGGTTAATGGTTATATTAGAATGACTATTTCCAAATATTTCCTTGCTCCAAAAATTTTGACTCTTTCACTCATCCATAAAATGTAGGTTGGATTCAGCATCTAAAGCAAGCCTGGTAATGGATTCATGGAAGATTGGTCAAAATAGACCTTAAGTTACTTGGAAATGAGACTAGCTCAAAAAACTTTTAACCTAGTCACTCATATTAAAAATAAAGGCCAGATTCAGCATCCGAGGCAAGCCTGGTAGTGTACTTCCATATATTTTATTTTGGATGTACATGTTCGATTCTTGTAAGTTTGGTCAAAATACTTGGAAATGACACCTGCTTCAAAAACATTAACCTGATCATTCTTTTAAATTAGCTGAAATTGCAGTCTCTGAAACCCTGGTTGGTACAATGAAACATACTTGAAGCATCTTACATGCATCCCTTAGGGGCTAGGGCATAGATGTACTTAAAAAGAAGTCTGCTCCAAAAACTTTCATCTGGAACACCAACACTTGCACTGATCCCATGGGTGTTACTAATATTCCTGTCCACTTCATATTGGTGAGCAAAAAAATGATTAAAATGCATATTATTTATGCCATCTCTGATTTGATGAATAAATTTATGCAAGTACATGTAAAATGTCATGCCGACAACCTCGCCGCTTGATTTCCAGCAGAATCCGGAAAGGGGGCAAAACATCAATACGCAAGTTTCGAGATTATCTCCCTTGGTGCGCTCTTTCGTTGAGGAGGGAAGTTTAGTTGCCGCGTAAACAAACAGGTGGGACAGATTTTAATATTGGATATATCGCATCATCGAAATACTAGTTTATCGTAATTATGTGATTGTAAGGATGCACTGTTCAACTCGAGAATAACCGAATTAAAGTAAAGGTGTCATTTTTAAAGCAAAAAATCGAACAAAAAAGAAAATTCAGTGGCTGTGAGACTTTTCAGACGAGGG